GCCTATCTAATGCTGGAAAGAAACCAAGTAGGCATTTTTCACCCTACTTCGGTCCTCGAATTCCTGCTCTCTTCTATGAGAGTAGCTGAGCTAGGATGACAACTCAAGTCAGCAGAGCCAGACACCATTTCCACCCTTTTATCCCAAGGGCATTACACCAGTTATATACTATTTTTGATTATGCTTTCACGTATGGAGAGTAAGTTGTTTCTGTTTGAATGATGCATCATATTAAAATTACAGCTTCTAGCTGGTTACTGGTGGTTTAAGGCAATATGAGTTTTCATTCATAAATGCAGTCTATCACTTTTATCACTTCATACAATTTTTAGGTTACCATTTTTAATATAAATGTTTTTATCATTGGACGTCATTATTACTTTTTCTCTTCACCTGTAATCTCTCTAAATCATTTAATTTCTTGGCCAATTTTAAAAATGGTATCAGTAATAACACACATTGTTATCTTGTTTCTGATCTTAAAATGAAAGAGCTTAAAGTAATAAATTTGTTTAAAGACATTTATACATTTTATTAATCTTTTGTCAGAACCGGGACAGCCCTACTATTCCTAGTTTTCTAATTTTAAGCTATTTTGTCTTGGCCTAGTCAATAAAAGAGAGTCAATCTTATTGTAGCAATAAAGGAAGAAGAGCATGGATACTGACAGTCCTCTGTGAGTGGAGATCAGGTGGGACAGCTCTCGGGAGGTCATAAGAACTGCTACTGATGGTTCAGTCTAAATCCCTTCCTTCAAGGATGTCCCTGAATGGGCCAGAAAGTGGTTGTAACTGTTGAGTTTCCAGAAAAGGCCAAGGACGTGACAAACTGTCATGTGGGAATTTATGGAGAAAACTGTGAGGCTATGATGTCTGCCTGCCGTCCCAGAATAGAATTTCCTTCTCTAACCTACTTCTGTATGGTTGTGCAGTGGCACTCTTACTGGCAAATGCTAACCAGAGAAAGGAAGTTAGCACAAGAGAGCTCTAGGAAATGAAGCTCCTAACAGATGCAATGCACCCCAAGCCAAGGTGCTGTGACAGCTGGAAATGGAGCTGGGTGCAGATCTACGACGGCTGTGTAGAACTCTTCTCTTCGCAATCACTACAGTGAGTCACACTAGCAAGTCTTCATGATGTGCAATCTCATTGGCCACAGTGAGCTACTTTATACCTAGGTGTTTAATTGCCAGAGGGAATAAGGATAGCTATTAGCACTATTAAGTACATTTGTTATACAAAGAAACCTTTACAGGGAATCCAAGAAGCTGTACTCTACTAAGAATGAGTGTGAGTCAGGAGAAAGTTTTCTGCTCTGGGAGTTGACATAGAACTTGACTTAGAGGTAATTTTCATTATTGAAATTAGTGATGATTAAAGTGTCTGTGGTAGAAATTCATGTTTAAAACTCCAACTTTCTTTTTTAGTAAATATTAGCATTTGTTCCTCATAAAATGCTATTCATAAGACATTTACTATTTTTCCTATCACGAGGTGACACATGCGTATGAATTCATTTAATTATCACCATACTTTGAGGTATGCTTGCCCAAGAGCTTCAGTGATCCACCTAAACCCACCCCCTAACAATGGGGCAAAAGACATGCACTGTCTCTCTTGGCTTTTTCCTCAGGTGCTGGGGACCTGAACCCTGGTCTTCCTATTTGTATAGCAAACACTTTCACAGTACCAGTGCCTCCCTGGGCTCAACAGTTTGTCTTAAGTACCAGTCTGCAACAGAGTGCCTTGGTACAAAAATGTGCAGTTTGGGAGGACTAGTCCTACAAATTCTGATATGGAATGTGTGTAGTCTTTCTAAACCTGCTTGTATCTACAAAATGCCCCCTGCCTCAGGGTAGAGCAGAGAGAGGTTTCTGGCTGGAAGGCCTACTGCAGAGATTCTGTTGATCACTAAATTAGCTTACACATCTCCTATTGTATCATTAGTTTGCTAGCTGGGTGTCCTAACCTGGAGTCTTGATTGACATTCATCTACATTTATTTGCTTTTTTATGTCCTATGCTGTCCTTTACTCTTCTTTTCTTGCTCTTTTTCTCTGTGAATCCCCTCATATAATTTATTTGTCTTCGTTATTGCCCAGCTTTTGTCTTCTTGTACATCTTTTCATTAGATTGTGCTAAAAAAGTTACAGAATTAACTGGTAGTCTCCATGACATCATTTCCCTCCAGAGGATGCCCACTGTCTTTTTGCCAGACAGTGAAAAACAGGGCAGGCAGGTTAATAGAGGATAGATCTGATCTATTTCTACAGTGTTTGAATAATTGACTTTTATTCTTGCTGTTCAGTCCTCCCTAATCTCTAGGGAAAGCATAGAGTAGCTTCTAGCATTCTATTTTCTTTGGTCTCAGTTCTGGGAGGATGCTCAGAGCCTCAGTCAGCTTCAAACAGGCTTTTCCATACGGAAGAGGAAGATAGACTCATGTATTGTTATCTCCATGAGTTTCTCTTCTCCTTAGAATCATGCTCCCTTGCAATTTATCATAAGTAGCAGCAGACTATTGAAATTCTCTCTGTGCAGTCTGTTGAGGCCTAGGATGAAAATAACCTTCTACAGAGACAATTTGCACCTTCTTATGGTAACCCAGGAGTGCCACTCTCCTGGGACCATTAGATTAAAATTATATGATGTGGTTTTCTCCACCACACCGAAGACTTAATCAAACTAAGTTCATGCCTCTTCTTTGGGCTCAAACTGATTGATATTCGTACAGACTATGCAGGTGCATTTGACCGTGTGTACCCAGAGGGAGGCTGGAAGTTAACAGTGTGTGGCTTCCTTTATCATCCCGTGCATTTTTTGAGGTAGGCTCTTACACTGAGATTGGAGCATTTACTCGGACTTTAGGATTAGAATTTAGGTCCTCATCTTATTATAAGCGCTCTGCCCATGGAGCCCTCTCCCTGTTCCCTGATCCGAAACGAATCTTAAACTGCTATTGCTGTCACAGTGAGCACTTGCCTTCTGCAGCTTTAGACAATACCCCGAGCATCACATACTTGCTTCCTCACAGAATTCCATATAATAAAAATAAAATAAAACAAAGCACAGTGTTGTTGAAATAAAGTCCTCTCTTCACTATACAAAAGCAAAATGAATTCTGGACACTTGGATCTTTCTAGAATTGATGTAACTGGGCTTCACTTCTGGGAATGAAATTTTGAGGTACAAAAGTGCCCACTCACCTTATATGAGACACCTTTTCTGAGACAATTTCAACTCAAGATTTTATTAGTAGCAACCCATATTATTTTGAGTAGGATCTATTTTGATTGGTTATGCCTGTAATATGCACATAGCAACAATAAAGCCACCAAGGTCATCAGGGAGAGAACATGACTGTACCTCTTTCTTTCCCCCAGGAAAACACTGAAATCAGCTTTTATTTTTCTTTTCTTAAAACAGACAGGACATGCGGCTACATTTTCATGCTAGTATGTGACAAACGTTGAAGACATAGCCCCTGTCTTGCTGTGTTCCCCTTTCTCAGCCTTTCTGGCTTCCATTAGAAGCCTTTATCTCCTAGTGCGCTGGCTTCCTCTCTCATCCTCTGTGCACACATGCTTTCAGAAACACAGCTATTATTGCTGGACATTTTTATTCTTCCATTTCCCACCCCTTCACTCAGAAGTAATTCAGGCATTTCCTTTGTGGAGGACTCTGCCACCAACAAGAAAAGAAAAGTAGATGGGAAGCATTAGAAAAAAAAATGGGCTGGGCACACGGCTTGGTGGAATATGAGGCCCGCAATTCTATCTTCAGCATAAAAACAAACTAAGAAAAACCCCAGAAACTAAAAACACCCAAACTAAACTAAAACAAAGCAAAACAAGATGGAGATAGGGTAATGGTTCTGTACTTGGAAGAAAGTGTGCAGCTGCTGCTGTTCTCGAAGCATTGGGGTTGGACCAGACTTCACATGTGTTTTAAAAAGGGATTCAATGTGGAGACGCACAAGCAGGGGAAAAAAGTCATCGGCACATTTGAAAGTACTGAACACACAAAAGCAGATGGATTCTCGTTGCAGTCAGCTATTTCCCCTGCTGTTAGCTTCAGAAGCTCATCTTTGCCTGACTACCGTGGGCTTCTTCATTGATCCTTCCTGTTTTAAGAATTCACCTGTGTTTTCAGAAATCCACCCAGTGTCAGAGGTCCATATCTGCCTTATGTATCAGTGGCTTTTGCAGAAGTTGTGCAGTGAAGACAGGTGTACATGAGGTGGCATCTGAGGTGACAAGAGGGAAGGTGCTTAGAGGATGATATGTAAAATCCTGTGACAAACTACAATCATCCTAACGAGGAAGCTGGCTCAGAATCATGAGCACACTGGAAAGTGGATGCAATGCTCAGATTTTTCATTGGATTTTTGTTTGTTTCATGTTTGTATTTATGTCCCAAAATTTCCCCTCCCTCACCTCTTCCCAGCCCCCCTCACACTTCCTGCTTCCCCCACCTCACCCCATCCTCTCCTCCTCCACTGTTTCTCTTCAGATACAGGCAGGCCTCCCATGGCTGCTGATATCCATGCAGTGAGACTAGGTACCTCCTCTTCTATTAAGGCTGGATGAGGCAATCTGGTAGAAGGAAACAATCCCAACAGCAGGCACCAGAGTCAGAGAGAGCCCCTGCTCTCCCTGTTAGGAGTTTCGTATTAAGACCAAGCTACACAACTGTAACATGTATGCAGAGGGCCTAGGGCAGTCCCGTGCAGGCTTCCTGGTTATCAGTTCAGTCTCTATGAGCACCTGTAAGCCCAGGTTAGATGGTTCTGTGGGTTTTCTGTGGTTCCCTTGCTACTACCGGGTCCTACACTCTTCCCTCCCCCTCTTCCTGAGATTTGCCTAATTGTTGACTGTTGGCTTCATCTGTTTCCATCAGTGACTGGGTGAAGCCTCTCTGGTTAGGTATCAATCTGTAAGTATAGAAAAAATATTAGGATAATTTTACTGACATTTTGGCATTCCTTTTGGTTCTATCCTAGGTTTCTGGGATATCCTGCCTCTGGGTCCTGTCCCTCTCTTACTCTCTGGGTAAGCACCCTCTCAGGGTATGGGTCTCCACCTGTGCTAGTCATTAGTTGGTCCCTCCCACAATCCCTGAATCATCTTTATCCTGTACATCTTGTAGACAGGATGAATCGTAGGTCAAAGGGTTTGTGACTGGCTTGGTGTCTCAGACCCTCCACTGGAAATCTTGCCTGGTTCAGGAGATGGCCTGTTCAATTTCTATATCTCCTATTGCTAGGGTTACCCTCATAGATCTCTGGAAGTTTTCATTGCTTTAGGTTTCTAGCTCAGTGCACCCAGATTCCAGTCATCTCTCTCAGTACTCTGCCCCTCTATCCTCCATACACCTGATCTCTCCTGTTTCCACCCCCATTTCTCCTTCTAGGCCCCTTCCCTCTTCTACTGGCAATGTCCACTATACTTCCAATTGACAGTGAAATTCATGTATCTCTCCTTGAGCCATCCTTCTTTGTCTTTCTAGGTCTGGTCACCCCACAGAGGATGATCTTTTCTAGTTCCATTCATTTTCCAACAATTTCCTGATGTCATTGGTTTTAATAATTGAGTAATGTTCCCATTGTGTAAATGCACCACATTTTCTTTGCTTGTTCCTTGGTTGATGGATATCAAGGTTGTTTCCAGTTTCTGGATATTATTAATAAAGCTGCTATGGTCATAGTTGTCTTGCTGTTCTTGTGGTATGGTTGAGTGTCTTTTGGGTATATGCCCAGGAATGGTGTAGCTGGGTCTTAAGGTAGATAGATTCCCAATTTTCTCAGAAACCACCATGTTGATTTCAAAGTGGCTGTACAAGTTTGACTTCCCACCAGCAATGGAGGAGTGCTTCCCTTGCTCCACATCCTCTCGAGCATGAGCTGTCACTGTGTTTTTGAGTTTAGGCATTCTGACCGGTATAAGATGGAATCTCTGTGTCATGTTGATTTACATTTCCCTGAAAGCTAAGGATGTTGTATTTCTTTAAGTGATTCTTGACCATTTGAGATTCCTCTGTTGAGAATTCTCTGTTTAGATCTGTGTCCCATTTTTTAATTGGCTTATTTGTTTTTTTTATGTTTATTTCTTGAGTTCTTTATATTTTGGATATTAGACCTCTGTTGGATGTGGGGTTGGTGAAAGTCTTTTCCCATTTTGTGGGATGTCATTTTGTTATTGTGACAATGTCCTTTGCCATATGGAAGCTTTTCAGTTTCCTGAAGCATCATTTGTTAGTTATTGATCATAGTGTCTATTCCACTGTGTTCTGTTCAGGAAATTTTCTACTGTACCAATGTGTATAAGGCTATTCCCCAATTTTCTCAGTGTATCTGGATTTATTTTGAGGTCTTTGATCCACTTGGACTTGAGTTTTGTGCAGGATGATAGATACAGATCTATTTGTGTTCATCTACATGTAGACATCCAGTTAGAACATCACCATTTGTTGAAGATGCTATTTTCCATTGTCTAATTTTGGCTTCTTTGTAAAAAAAAAGCCAAGTGTCCATAGGTGTGTGGATTTACTTCTGTGCCTTCAATTCCATTAATCAACCTGTCTTTTTATGACAATACCATGCATTTTTTTTTACTATTGCTCTATAGTACTGTTTGAAATCAGGGTTGGTGATACCTCCAGAAGTTCTTTTCTTATACAGTATTGTTTTGGCTATCTTGCAAATCAAATCCAAGAACACACCAAAAAGATCATCCACCATGGTCAAATAGGCTTAATTCCACAGATGCAGGGATGTGTCACCATATGAAAATCTGTCGGTTTAATCCACTATAAAACAAAATGAAAGAAAAAAAAACTTGATCATTCTATAAGATGCTGGAAAAGCCTTTGACAAAATCCAACATCCTTTCATTATAAAATTCTCAGAGAGGGCAGGGATACAAGAGGCATACCAAAACACTATATATAAGTGGAGAGAAACTTAAAGCAATTCTACTGAAATCAGACACAAGACAAGGCTGCCTACTTTCTCCATATCTATTTGGCATAGTATCTGAAGTTTTAGCTAGAGCAGTAAGATAATGTAAGGCAATCAAGGTAATGAAAATTGTAAAGTAAGAAATCAATATATATATATGACCCCAAAATTTCTACCAGAGAACTCCTTACAGTTGATAAACACCTTCGGAGAAGTGGCTGGGTATAAAATTAACTAAAAAAATCAGTAGCCCACCTATATGCAAACAATAAGTGGGCTGAGAAAGAAATTAGGGAAACAATACTCTTCACAATAGCCACAAATGTTATAAAATATTTTGGGGTATCTCTAAGCAAGTTAAAAACCTGTGTGACAAGAATTTCAAGTTGTTGAAGAAAGACATTGGAGAAGATATCAGAAGATGGGACTATCTTCTATACTTGTGTATCAGCAGGATTGACATAGTAAAATTGGCCATCTTATGAAATTCCCATCAAAAGTCTATCACAGTTCTTTACAGACCTTAAAAGAGCAACACTTGGAAGCCTAAATCACAATAAAACTGGAAAATATGGAAAGTAAGTCAAGTCAGTCACAGGAGGAAAACAATGTTCTTTGACTACAGTGCTAAGGGGGGGGTCATCAGGTGAGAAAAATTAACAGGTCCCAAACTGTCGGTCTAAAGTCAGAGGGCAGCTTGCAAGAGTCCATTTTCTCCTTTCACCTTGATGGTCCTGGGAATTGAACTTGGATCTTTAGGCTGAAGGCTTGGCAGCAGGTGTCTTTATCTGAAGAGCCATTTCACTGGGCCTGATATTTGCTTTTCTCATGCAATGAATATTGGCAATGTGGGTGAGCCAGGACTAGTGAGTAAGCACCACAGACTCATGGCTATTTTAGGCTTACCATGACCCTCAGCTGTAGAATGGCTCTTTTGTAGCATGCAGCATCATAAAGACTTTCTAAGAGGGGTGAGGAAAGGCATGAGCCTGTGACGACATTATAGAGCATTCTTTGAAGCTCTCCTAATATCTTCTTCTAATGTTGGCAGCAGGAACTATGTCCAAAGCTCCCATTACCTATGAAGGAAAATGGAAAATACAGGTCTTAGCTATTCAGAGTGAAGGGAAATCCAACACATCCTCCAAACGTAGTTTTCTGCATATGCTTTTAGTTATGTGCTTTTGGAATTACTAATTTTAAAGACTGTAGAGATGATCAGTGTTATGTGTGTGTGATGGCTCTTTACAGTGTTAAGAAAACTTACTCCTCTGTAGAGATTCCTTTTCTATTACCAAGATTGTGGTCATCAACTATCTGTAACTCCAGTTCCACTGGACCAGATGTCTTTTTACTGTTCTTCATGGGCACTACACACCACAGACATGGTTTACAAACATGCATGCAGGCAAAACATTCATATACAGAAAGTAACAATTTAATCATATATAAATAAAAAGTCACTAGTTTTGGAAATCAGGTAACTAGGCAACATGTTATTAGCCTACCACTAACCTCCTTGTAGGTAATAACTTGTGGGTTTATGATGGTAACTGTTGCCTAGCTGTTTCTCAGGAATGTGGAGGTCACTTTTGTCTAGTTCAAACTGGCTGAGTTTACAGATGTTTCACTGCAGCCTTTCTGATGGCTGATTGCTCTGACAGGAGAGTTGAAAACTATTTTTATAGTTTGCATTGCATATTAAATACCACACATGAGCTCATGTGCTTGAGCACTGTATCTCCAGAGGGTTATTTTGACAGCTTGTGGAACTTGTAGGACCTTTGCATATAAGTGGGACTGGGCTTGAAAGTAGTATCTGCTCAGAGATCCTGTTCTGAGTTCTCTGCTACTGGGCCCATGGAATGAGAGCAAACTATATATATGGCAAACTTCTACCACCACTGACCACAGCACGCAGTTTCAGTTACCATGGCTTCCTTGTCATGATGGACTAACCCCCTGAGGTGCTTCTCCTTCCTTGAGTTGCTTCTGTAAGGTACTTTGCAACCTCAATGAGAAAAATAACACATTGTCCTCAGATAATGCTTGTATCATTGTTTTTTTTATTCAAATGTCTCATGGAAAGATATGGTTGTGTCCATGCCCAGATCACTTCTCCTTATGTCCAAACACATTTTCCACTGACTTAGAGCATCCTTCTTCAAATGACATTAAACAACTGTTGTACATCAATTTCCTAAGATTTGAAACAATGTCTCTTGGAAGTAGGCTCCTTAAGAATCAGAATTTCTAAGTTGAGACATCCCTTCCAGGAAAAAGGGGAAGCTCATGAGATTCAGCAAATAAACACTTCACAATTCTCAAGAAGGTCCTGAATTTGATGTGATACAGAATCCTCCAGGTTAGGGAAGCAATAAGCAATTGATGGACAGAAGAGAGCAGGCAGAAATGCTCTCAGATTATTAGATACTAAGCTGCCCAGAGGATACTCTTCATGACATGTTGAGTTGCCAACATGTCATGAGGGGAGTTTCAGGGATGAAGGTTCTATGTCTCATCACTAAAAGTGGCATAGGTTATCTAACCTGTCACTTCTACCCACAAACTTATAAGCAACCCCAATAAGTTTATTGACAAACTAAGTTATCACCTTGAACTTTGATAAGAACTATTTAGTATTGTCTGTCTTGATTTCCCCTCTACGGTTAGTAGATGTTTGCATGTGTCTTCCCAGGAAAATTGCACACAATAACCCTCTGCTCTGGTTTTGAAGGTAGATTTAAGACTTGCCATCTCATCTTATTACTTGGCTGCTTTGTAAATAATCCTTTTGCATTCAACTCATTATTTCACTGACGGGCCTACTGTATTATGTGGGAAATGAGTCCTGTTGAGTACCATTCCCAAGAACAATGTTACTTAATAATTAACCAAGCTAACATGGATGCACAGTGCCCTCTGCCTGGTATGGTCTTCGCTTTCTGACAGGGACAATGGAAGTATCACATATTACTGTTACTTAGATGCATGTGATCCTCCTACAGTGCCTCCTATGTTAGTTGGTCTTTCTCCATCTTCTTAAAATTAGGTGAGATCATTTTTTTTGCATTTCATGTTAACATGAAAATAAATGGGTATATGTCATTTCAGATGGAAAACCAAGAATTTTGTGCAATTTACAACTCTGTTCAGGATTCAGTATTCCATAAGCTGCTTCATCAGCTGGGGACTCTAAGTGATCACAAAAAAGTTTCTGTACTGGACATGATGGGTACACGCCTTGTGGTCTATGCATGGATGGTACTAAGCCACTGAAAATCAAAGGTTCTGTTTCAAGACATCACCAAACTACCTGAACGCATCCAACACTGGAGTCCGTCATCTAGCCATCTCTTCTCTATCAAAATATGGAAGAATCTTGAAATGAAGGAGCCAACAGTCTCAGCCTTACAATTCTGAAATTGATTGGCATCCAATTAGGATGAATTAATAAGGGACACAGTGTCTCCACCTTAGCTACTTTTCTGCTCACAGTAAGACATTTCTACCTCCATTACTTCCTTATATCATTGTTTCCTTTGTTTCTTTTTCCCTTTCTGTTTTTTTCTATCAATTGCCCCGTCTCTACTCCCTTCTCTCTTTCAAATTGAGGAGTCCTTGTAGATAGCATCTAGATTCATTATTGGTAGTGGCTTCAAGAGTTTTTCTCTTAGAACAAGAGGGTGTAAGTCCATGATGATCTGTCTTCCTCTACTTAGCATATCTTTCTTTATATTTTGAAATTCATTGAAGGGGGTCATGTGCATTGTGTATGTGTATTCATCACAGTGTACATGTGGAGGTCACAGGGTACAATATCAGAGTTATCATCCTCTGGGAGCAGAACTCAAGTCCTCAAACTTCAGAAAAAGTCATTAACCACTAGGCAATTTTTCCTGACTTGTTAAGCATATCCATATTCACTCACTAAGCATCAAGCAGTCATTTTCTTTACCTAGAATTTGAAAGTACTTTAGCCTTACTTCTAGTTGGTGGCTGTGATTGAAGATATAAGAAAAGATAAGTAACTAATTTGCTGATAATGGCAATCCAAATAATGATTTTAATTAAAAAGTTTATTTTACAAGCCAAGAACACATGGGACAATTGGGAAGCTGGGTATCATATCATGCAATATGAGCCCTAGAATATAATTGAAATTACATAAAACAGCATGTAACCTAAGGTTTCACACATCCTACTTCCAGTAGGCTTAATTGGATATATACTGCTAAATTTAGATTTAGGCTTTATAATTATGGTATGATTTCTAAAGCAGAGACAAGTAAGAGCTTCCATTGCTAAGAAAGTTTGGTTATGACTACATCCTACAGAGATGCTAAAAATCATCCAAATGTGTCATGCTTTAGAAGCAAGATACTGTGTAGTAATTAGGTTGTGATGATCAGATGTGTCAGAAGAACATTAAATCTGCATTAAGATGTGCAAGACTGTTAGAACTCAGGACTCAGTTTTGAAAGTTAAATTGAGTTAGCTTAGGAGTGCCTTGGAATGAAGATTAAGAGTTAAAAGATCATATTGGTTCTACTCAAATGAATGTAGCATCATATTAATGAGACTTTTTTTTCTTTACCTCAGCACATCTGTGTTGATGCTCAGTGAGTTAGTCATCTAGCTAAATATAAAATGGTACCTCTAAAAGTCCGATACTGAAAGTGAATCCTTTACTGAGGAATGTCTTCCTATATTTGTAGCTAATTCTTGTCCACAAATTCTCAGCCAGATCTCTTTTGGAATTTGAGTTGGATCAGTTTTGATGAATCTACCATGAATGGTGGCGTCATTGATCATTACTTCTGTGGAGTCAGCCCCCAACTTTTGGCAATTGTAATGATTAATATTATCAATTTTATAAGTTCTAGAACCACCTAGGATACACACTTCTAGACATATATATGAGGAAATTTCTAGATTGAGCTAACTGAGGCAAGAAAATCTACCCTAAATATACGAGCTGGGATGCTGCAATGAATCAAAGAAGACAAGCTGAACACCAGCGTTCATCTCTCTGCCTCCTGGAGGTGCATGCGGTGTGGCAGCTGCCGTAAACTAAAAAGAGCTAAGATGTATGAATCGAAGTAATTTGGATAAAATCTCTTCATCAAGTTGCCCATTCAGTAAAGGGAGATGTCCTTTTATTCCATGAATCAGCTTGCCAGAACTATTTTGGAAAAAATAAAACATTTTTAGCAAGCTGCATGTGCTGCTGTTGTCGTGGGATCTGCAAAATATTAAAGTTATGTATGTATTTCAGAAGAGACCATTGCACAGTTAGAAGCATTATAGGCGGCTAAGATTTAGGCCCCAACCAGATTGCCTTGGGGCTGAATCTACAACCCTTGTGTTACCAGGTGTCCTTATCTTGTTGAGTCTGAATTCATAGGTAACACTGGCATACTCACAGGACAACTCCTTTCATGGCCCCTTAATTCTGCTCCAGCATCCAAACTATTATCTTTGCCATGTTATTATTTGTTTTAGAATGTTCTGGGAATTTAAAATGGATTATTGATTTGATAAATGTATAAGATCTGATAATTCTGAGACTTGATTTTGATTTTGTAGACTTCCTATTAGGCTCATTTTTTGCACATATTCTTTCTTATGTTTGTACATGTGTTGGTACATATATATATTCATGTGTGTGGGGAGGTAAAAATGTGGGGATCCATGTGTGTATGTGTGTGGAGCTCAGAGATTAACATCAGGTATCAGTTTCCAACATTGCATATTAAAGGAGGGTCTTCCACATGAGCTTCAGCTCTTTCATTTTACTAATCAAATTATCCCAGGGATACCCCATCATTTTCTCCAACTGATGGTAGTACAAGTGGGCTGCCACCTTCACACAGCATTGACATGTATGTTGGGGCTCTTCAAAATTACAGTGACTATTTGTCAATGTTAGCTGTTTTGTTTTGTGCTAAACAGCATGCCCTGGTTAGGGCTAAGGTTTTCATCTCAAGCACGCCTAGTTATCCCGAGAGTAGAAGGAACTTCATAGCCTTCCTGAAATTTTTTTTTTGGTTTTTACAAGACAAGGTTTCTCTGTATTGTTTTGGAGGCTGTCGGTCCAGCCTGGCCTCGAACTCACAGAGATCCGCCTGCCTCTGCCTCCCAAGTGCTGGGATTAAAGGCGTGCGCCACCACCGCCCGGCGAAATGTTTTTTTTTTTTTTAAAGAAATTAACCTCATAGCCAAGAACTGTAAGTGAATAAAATTAATTCTGATTTTCAAAGAATGTTTCCAGCATGCCTCTTTTAGGAAGAGTAGTACATCTATTATTTTGGTATAATCATATTTATTTGTGTTGGAAGAATTCTATATCAGAAACATTTTTATCTCTCCGTAATACCAGAATGTATGTAATAACAGTAAATTCACAAGGCACTGATGTTTGGCAGATATTTCCACTCTCCTTGATAGCCTTAGTCAAGGCAAATGAAGATTTTCTGATTGAAATAGTAAGCACCAATATTTCCTCTCAGACCACATGTACCATGCTGCATCACATCCCCATACACGTGTGTGTGTGTGTGTGTGTGTGTGTGTGTGTGTGTGTGTGTGTGTGTGTGTCAGGGTGCCTGCACCCAGCAAAGTTCAATTTATTAATCTCCATTTCCTCAAGATCTTTGTTCAGTTCTGATATTATTTCTAAAACTTAAAAAAGAATCTTTTAGCAATTTTATCATTTCTTATCTTAGATGCTTCAAATGTCTGAATAAATAGGATCTTCATTTAGTGTGCATTCATTATCTCTTGCTTTTTTGCCTAGAACTTCTCATTTGGCATGGGGGAAAGCAATTTAAGAATATCAAATGTTCCCAATTGAGGGAAACAGAAAACTTTAGTTAGATTTCCCCATTTTCCCAAAAATTTGTAGGATGAATTACCATAATTACCAAACACAAAACCAATTAGAGTATCAGGTGGCAACTTATCTCCAAACACGTCCTGCTCTTTTGAACTTTTAAAAGTTATGCCTGTTAATCAAAAAGAAGGCATGTCAGACATAGGAGCAATGGATGCCTATTAAGGGAACTAAAGATAGCCCTGATATAATCTATGACATTCTAATTCTCCACAATCATGGGGTTATGATCAGTCACTGAGAATCTTCACCACACATGTGGCTGTTTATTTGGGGGATCTTGAGTTAATATCTCTGAAACCCACACACTTCAGTGCTTTGCAGTGTAAGCAACCTGAGATGCTTCTTTATTTGTCTAGAATGTTGGAAATGAGAGAGCATATAATTGATGAGCTGGAGAAAAAAATCAGAGTTGGGAGAACAAGCCGGAGGTGCAAGATGTGTGGCAGAGAAAGGAGAGAAAGGTATGAGCATGAGACTTACAGCTGAGCAGGCATGATTAGCTGAGCAGGCATGATTAGTTGAGCAGGCATGATTAACTGAGCAGGCATGAATAATCAGATGCTGGTTTAATAAAATGCATGTTTCCTAACTATGCTTCTTTTCTGTGGGCTATGACTCTGTGCACACTGAAACTGGAACTAACATTTGGGAATGCTAGTTAGTTTTCAGGGTTACTTAATTCTTTAGGTGGCTGACAGACCCCAGGTAGCAGAGATGACTAGCACAACCCTATCATTCAGAAGTCCCCGAAGGACAGTTGTGGGGATGAGGGGGAGGAAGCTGACTCGTTTTCTGTCAGACAACATCAGCCGTAATCAGTGTTTTTCTTTTTTGTTGAAAGCTCCCAAATATTTTAATTGAGTTTTTGTTTGTGCTTTGATTCAGTTAGTAAAATTACAATGAAACAAATCAGATATATGTAGAACACAGACCATTCCAAAGACAACGCCATGTGCTCATGGAAAAGGGCAGGGTGGTGGTTCCAGATCAGGTATGCAGGGATGTAATGAAGCGCTGTATGGCATCTGAAAACAAGTTTGTAATATAAGAAAAATAGCTGAAACATATTTAACGACAATTAGTCATTAACATGTACTGTGATAGGATATATTTGCGAATTATTGCTGATTTTCTTATTTATTTTTTCATTTTTATTTTTAAATTTAAATTAGAAGCAAGGTTGCTTCACATGTCAATCCCAGGTCCCTCTCCCTTCCCCTCCCCTCCTCCCATGCCTTCCCACCAACGCCCCCAACACTCCCTCATTTCCCCAGGGAGGGTGAGGCCCTCCATGGGGGTGTCTATAATCTGTCATTTCATCCAGGGCAGGGCCTAGACCCTCCCCCGAGAGTCCAGGATGAGAGTGTATCTCTCATTGTTGGATGTGCACCCAAAGTCCATTTGTATGCCATGGATAAATACTGATCTACTACTCAAGGCCCAATAGATTCCCTAGGCCTCCTCACTGACACCCACATTCAGGGGGTCTTGATCAATCCCATGCTGGATTCTCAGGCATCAGCCTGGGATTTAAGAGCTAGCCCTTGTCAGGTCAGCTGTTTCTGGAGGTTAAACTAGCCCAGTCTTAGCCCCTTTGCTCATCAGTCCTCCCTCTCTGTCACTGAGTTCCTTGAGTTCAGCTCAGTGCTTA